TAGACGTTCTCCTTACATAACTGTCATCATTATCACACCTGAGAAATTTGACACTGATAGAATAATATTATTTAATATGGAGTACATAGAGCTATTTTTATTCCAATCCAGGAACCAGGACAGCATTGCATTCCATAGTCCTGTCTCTTCAGTTGTCTTTATTCTAGACACTTCCCTGCTTTCTTTGTTCACCTTTCAAGACATGGACAGTTTTTCTTTTTTAAGAGTCTGGGCTGGTTATTTTGTAGAATATTCCACAATTTGGATTTGTCCAATTGCTCCCCACGATTAGCTTTAGTTTTGCCCTTTGCGTCGTGAGGACTTCGTGGGTTTGTGTGTGCTTCCATTGCAACCATTGGATTGTCAGATTGTCCCAAGTTCAATCGTTTGGTTAAGGTGATGTCTACTAGATCTTTCCATTATAAAGGTACAATTGTGCCTTTGTCCCTAATGATCGGCACGACAATAATTTGAGACTGTGGTATCTTCCAACAACTACCTTTCTGTAGCAACCATTGATGATCCTTGCCTGAATCAGTTGTTATAAATTGATGGTTGCAGAATGATGATTTTTCTAATTCTGTCATTCCTTCTATGATTATTAGGTGATCTTTTTCGGTAAAAATTTCCTCCCCTGCCCATTTTTCTTGAGGATCACTCTATGATTTATAAAGTTTTACCACCTTTTTTCTTTCTGGTGCTCAAATTATCCCGGGATTGGCAAGTGGAACCCTTTCAGGCTGGTTTCCCCATCAGTCATTGAGCACTTCCTTGATTTCTGGTAAGAAATACTTCAGACTAACCTTGACCTTTCCCTGCTCCAGACTTGTGATCAGCCATTTCTCCAAGGAGCACAGCTTCCTTTTTAGTAGGGAATGGTATTTAGGAAACAAGATCTGGATGCCAAGTTTGCTCATTGCAACTGAGGTGTCATCACTTCTAGGCCCTTCCTATGGATAGAGCTAGAACATATATTAATGTTTCTCCCCCCCCCCCCCCCCCCCGCCATAGTCATATATTGAAGCCCAAATCTGCAACGTGATGGTATTTGGAGGCGGGACCTTTGGAAGGTAATTGGAGCACAGGCTCCGGACGCGCAGGCTCAGCGGCCATGGCTCACGGGCCCAGCCGCTCCGCGGCATGTGGGATCCTCCCGGACCGGGGCACGAACGCGCGTCCCCTGCATCGGCAGGCAGACTCTCAACCACTGCGCCACCAGGGAAGCCCTTAATGTTTTTAATAAAATCAGAATGCTGCTATTTTTCAAAGGCTTCAGAAACTTTATAGGTTGTAGTTCAAGCTGAAAAACTAGGATACCGGTATCCTAAGCAGTTTCAGAGACTAAAGTTTTGTCAACTTCTTGCAGTCTTCCTTTTCCTTAACCCTCCAGAAAGTTAGGGTTTTCTATGCTAACAGTATGCAGGACTCATTAACCTCACATATCTCTGAAAGATAGGCCAGGGTAAGTGAGCACAGAAGCAAAAAGCTGGATTCATTGGTTTATTTAGGAAGCTTTTATTCTGTATTTCAAAAAATGTTTATTGAACAGTGACTCTCTTCTTACTAGGCATTGAGTAAGGTCCTTGTTCTCCTGGATAATCAAAGAGAAAAAGGACTTGGTCTCTGCCCTGTGGCTGAGTGTCACCCTGCATCTGGTGGCAGGGTGACGGATGTGGAGGGAGGAGGGTAGATGCTTACTAACCACTTTCCACAACGACAGAGCTTTGAAGAGGAACATACCGATTCCTGTGTTAGTGGCTCGTTAGCCTGGATACCTCAAATGCCATTTGGTTGGGGGCATACCGAGGTAAAAATGAATGTCTCTGCAAATGTGAATCTGCATGGAGGGATAATTTTACAGGGAATGGAAAGTTTTTACTATGTTTTAAATTCAGGGCTAGCTTTTGTGGGTAATGCCTTATGCTGACCACCCTATTTCAAGAATTTAAAGATGTGGGTTTTTTTTTTTTTTTTTTTCTTTTTTGCGGTACGCGGGCCTCTCACTGTTGTGGCCTCTCCCGTTGCGGAGCACAGGCTCCGGACGCGCAGGCTCAGCGGCCATGGCTCACGGGCCCAGCCGCTCCGCGGCATGTGGGATCTTCCCGGACCGGGGCACGAACCCACGTCCCCTGCATCAGCAGGCGGACTCTCAACCACTGTGCCACCAGGGAAGCCCAAGATGTGGGTATTTTGAAAATGATATATAACAGGTACTTAAATAGGAGAGATCCGAGCCTAGGTTGTTTCTTGCTAAGTGCTTACTCTGCCTTTTATGTAACTTGAAAAGAATTGTTTTATTTGAAGCCCTTGTATTCTCAGTTTCTTGATATGTCATAGTGCTGGAATGGACAAAGCCAGTTTTTTTTTTAATGTAGTAAAATTTAAAAGTCAGTTTAGACAGTGTCAGTGTGTAGAACAAATGATAGTCAGCAATTTTTTTTTCTAGAATTGTGTGTGCAGTACTTAATACTAACAAATTTTAGGGACTCATGGAGGCCTCAATTATCTATGCTACGATCTCAGCGGCTGGATAAACTTCTTAAATGTTGTTTATTATAATATGCATTAAGAGAATTATCGTGTGATTTATCATCCCATGGTAGCAGTCACGGAATTCAGAATATATTTGAATGGCGGGGAGTACATAAGTATGAAGGTTATATTTTCAGCTCCCAAAGTAAAAACATTTAAAAAGCAAATGTAATTGGTCACCATGTGGGTTTTGCCTCCCTTCCTGACCATCTGGTCACATGGTAGCGTTCTCTCCTTCCCTGCAGAAGAGGGCGGGGCCTTCTGTTGGTCCTGGTCTCCCCCCCCACCCCCTTTGTGCTCTCGGGGCCTGGCTACATGGATGGTGCTGAGCAGGGATGTTCCTTGTCACGGCGTCACTGCAGGCCCCCATTTCCCTCCTCTGCCGGCTGTGGTTCTGTGCTCACATCCCGAGGTATCCTCGAAGTCGCGCTCCTGGGTTCTCTTACCTGGAAATGCTCTCCCGTCATCACTGACTGTGAACAGCCCTTTCCATGCTTTGAGGCCTGGTGTAAATGCCTCCTCTCGCTGGAAGCCTTCCGAGGCCTCCGTGCCTCTGTTCTTCTAAGCTGTGTGTTTTCTTCTCCTTAAGCCCTTACAGCGCTTGCTGTTCTCAGGACACTCCTGTGTATTTCCCTGACGCTGTTTCCCGAGCTGTCCGCTTCCTCTTCCCTTCCCTCCCATGTTGCCTAGCTTGGTATGGTATAAATATATAGACAGCAGGAGGGCAGCATACGTGTTTCAGATTAGGGTAACTTTATAATGTTATGGAGAGAAGATGAGATACCAGAAAACTGAGAATTACTTGGAATGAAATGGTCATGAACATCCTGGGTGGAGGAATTGCTAGGTCACTCTGGTGTTTTACGGGGTCTTCTGTGACCGCTCGTGTGATGAGTGTCCTTACATTCAAATGGTCGAGCCTGTTGAAGGGGAACGTCAGGGAACTTCTCCACGAAGGCCGACCTTTTTAGTGTGATGGTGCACCTTGTTAGAAGTACAGTCAGAGCAATCTGTGCCATTTCCACGCTTTCATTAATTTTTCAACACCATAAATTTCTTCCTTAAATCTGTGCTTGGTTGTCATTAATTTAAGATGGGGTGTCTCAATTCCCCTTGCCCCCGTTTCTACTCCCGCCTAAGAGGGGAGTGGCGTCTGTCAGTCTAACACGACAACATCTCACGGTGCCATCCCTTATTATAGGGGGAGCAGAACTGCGAGGCAAGCCCTGGGCTTCCTTTTTCAGGTTTCTTCTTACAGCCAGACACTTGTCATCCCATGCCCTGTGGTTTCCTGTTTTTGCACACCTGTGGTCCTTTGGATGGCTGAGGTTTTAGTGTGAATTCAACAGTATGTTTAGTCCAGTGATCTTCACAGATTGCTTACAGAGCAAACTAAATCTGGTGCCTAAGTACATTTTCTAACAGTTTGGATGAATTATGTAGCAAGTCTTTTTCTTTCTTTTTTCTAAATTAAGTTTTTTTCATTTTGAGGTAATGGTAGACTCATAGTATATTAATAACATATTATTCCCAAGGAATATTATGGAGCGATTCCATGTGCTCTCTACCCATCTTCCCCAAATGGTAACATCCAGGGAAACTGTTGTACATCATCACAACCAGGATATTGACACGATGCAGTCAAGACAGAACGTCTCCCAAGTACCCCCGTCTTATTGCCCTATTGTAGTCACACCCACTCCCCTCCCACCCCCCACCCTTCTTTAAGCCCTGGCAACCACTCATCTGTTGTCCATCTCTATAATTTTGTCATTTTAAGAATGTTACAGAAATGTTTAAGTTCATGATCCACTTTGATATACTTTTTATGTAAGGTGTGGGGTTAGGTCGAGGGGTCGAGCTCTTTCTTTGCCGTGGGTGTGTGACTCCTCCAGTGATGTGTGAGAAGGCCACATCCTTCTTCCATTGAGTTGCTTTTGCAGCTTTGTTAAGAAAAGTCAGTTGGGCACGTTTGTGTGGGTCGGCTTGTGGCTCTCTGCTCTGTCCGTTGACCTGTGTGTCGTTCCCTCCACCCGTGCACGGAGCCTGGATTCCTGTAGCCGCAGAGTAAGCTTTCATCCCAAGGAGAGGGATGCCTCCCAACGTGGTCTCTTCTTTTTCAAAATTGTTTTGGCTATTTTCGTTCTTTCTCCTTTCCGTATAAATTTTAAAATCTTGTCTATAAGCTACAGAAGAAAATCTTGCTCTGATTTTGATAAGAATTTGTTAAAACTCTATATCCACATGGGGAAAATTGACGTCTTTACTATATTGAGTCTTCCAGTCCATTAACGTTGAATGTCTTTTTCTTTTTAAAATAATGAAAGCTTAAGGTGTAAAGATGAAGATGGCTGTGCTGTAACATGCTGCCATGTATTAAGAGGTGATTTTATTCCAGGGAGACTATCAATGACAGACTGTCAGGTTGCATCTTTGTTCAATTCCTTTTTAAAAAATTTTATTCATAGGCCTATGAAAGGAGGTTCCCTACGTGTCCTTTGATTCCGATGTTTGTGGACAGTGACACTGTGAATGAATTCAAGAGTGAAGATGGGGCTATTCATGTTATAGAAAGGCGCTGCAAACTGGATATAGATGCCCCTAGACTGTTGAAAAAGGTAACTGAAAAGGACACCTTAAAAGGCAGTCCCCCCAAAACCAGAAGGAACTTATGCTTAATAGCTTCTGTTGCTCTTGTCATTAACCCGTTTTCTTTCTGTTTCTGTTTTAAAGATTGCAGGAGTCGATTATGTTTATTTTATCCAGAAAAACTCACTGAATTCTCGGGAACGTACTTTGCACATTGAGGCCCGTAATGAAACGTTTTCTAACCGCGTCATCATCAACGAGCACTGCTGCTACAGCGTGAGTAACCGGCGCTCAGGCAGAGGCGCAGAGTGTGCTGGCGCGGAGCTTCTGAGAGTTGTTTGGCCGCTGCTTTAAGCAGTGCATGAGGGCTGCCTTTGTCTGAGAGGGCAGTTCTTCATCACAGAAAGTCACCGGTTTCTGATGAGCGGGAGTGGCAGGTGTGGTGTACTGCAGGGTGGGTTACATTGTTGTCGCAGTTCAGGTGGCCAAGTGATGGCCTGACTTGTTCTTTAATACTAATATGCCACGTCTTTTCTGGCCACTCTAACACTTTAGAAATGTGTATTGAGGGACCCAGGCTACTGTGTCCCCTGAAGATTGGAGCCGAGTGTGTTTATCTGCCCCCTGTCTTCACTGTTCACCACCCTGTTTCAAGAACTTTTCTGGCCAGATTATTGGAAAAACCTAATAGATCTCTCTGCTTCCACCCTTACTTTCCTACAATATATCCTTGACACTGAATCCAAAGTGAATCCATTTAAAGTATGTCAGATCATGTCATGCTTTCTTTGGGCTCAAACCCCTGCAGTGTCTCTGCATTTCACTCAGAGGAAAAGCCCAGAGGCCTTGCAGTGGCTTATGAAGCCCTGTTTTCTCCTAATCTCTCCTCTGCTGTCCTGCCTGCCTTGGGCACAGCCTGCCCGCTGTCTCGCTGTCTGTGGTCGTGTAGGCGAACTTCCCGAAGGACCTCTGCTCCTTCTGCCCCCGGACCTCCGCTTGACTCCCGTCCTTAACCCCCTTCCGGCTTCGCTCAGATCTCCCCTTCTCGATGAAGCCAGTCCTGAGCACCCTATTCAGTTCTGTAACCTGCCCTCCATTTAACCCTGCACCAACTTTGCTTTTTTCCATAGTGCTTATCTTCCAACAATGATATCATTTCTTACCTGTATGTTTGTGGCCAATTGTCAGTCTCCTCCTGCTAGACTGGAAGCTTCACAAGGCAGGGATCTTGTTTTTGTTCGTGGTGGAAAACATGGCTCAATGAATATGGTGAATGAATGAATAAATGAATGACTGAACCAAGAACGAAAATGAAGCTCTCCTTCTAATAGTCACTATTTTAGAAACATTATTTGAGCCTTTTCATGAATTTGAACCTCTCTGTGTAATTTTTCCATCTGCTGTTTTCATGATAATAACATCGTTAGTAAGATAAGTGTTTCTCCTGGGTACCAGTTGACTGAGGAGCAAATGATACTCTCAGTTGTCAGTATAATCAGTGGGAATACTTTCTCTTTTACCGGCAGGTTCACCCTGAAAATGAAGATTGGACCTGTTTTGAACAGTCTGCAAGTTTAGATATTAAATCTTTCTTTGGTTTTGAAAGTACAGTGGAAAAAATTGCAATGAAACAGTATACCAGCAACATTAAAAAAGTGAGTCTGTCTTGGGATTTTAAGGAAGCGGGTGGGTGGGAGTCTCTTCGGGAGGCTGGGAACGGGTTAGTCAGGGCTCCCGGGGGTGGAAGGGGTGGGCGGGGCTGCAGGTGACACTGGTCGCTGGGGGACGGAGGAGGAGGGGTCTGCGGGTGCTGGCCTGGCGCCCCCCCCCCCC